TCTTATCAAGAAACAAATTTTAATTCTTTCAGTGAGAATCATGATTCACAAGATGGCTTAAGCAAAAATAATGAAAATAATCTACTTGAAATCTTAAAAACAATGCATTAATTATAATATTTTCATTGACTCTACAGTTTTCTTATGAAACTAAAAATATTTCTAATTATGCTTTAGTTTATTACCAATATATATATATGATACCATTTTACTATTTAAGGTTAAAAGACAAAACTGGATTAATTTGCATAAAACTTGAACAATCTCAACATTAGGTCTTAAATATTACTTACAAAACTAGCAAATAATTAGGTAATTTTAAATAAGTATATCTTAAGTAATAGTAATGCCAACTCAAAGTTCGTCAGTGAATTATGTATTATTGTGAAACTATTCTGACAATATTTTACATATCTCAATTTTTTAAGTAATTGTACAATTTTATTTTCAAAATGTGTATGTTGAACCTTCTGATTATATACTATGTGAAGAAGATCTAAAATAATGACAGAGGGTCAAAGCAAACAAAATATACTCCTTTCTGGAATATATAAGCACATTAATACTTGTGAAAAGGCCTCAAACTTATTAACTATGATCAATATTTTGGCTTCAACACCTTCAAATAAATTCCAAAATTTCCATATTTAGCTTTCATTTCACACTTTAGCTTATGTAATAAGCCTTTCTTCCACCATTCTGCATCATTTTATCTGGACTGTCCCTCCAGGAATGCTATCCATGTAAAAGTACATGCTTTCTTTGAAAAAACAAAAAAGATAGGAACAATACCTAAAATCATCTATCGGAAAACCTTATAATGCTTTAAAAAAATATTTGAAGAATCAGCAGAAGAAGCAATGATAAAGAACTCTAAACAAGAGAAGGGAAGGGCTTGGCTGAAAGCAGTGAAACAGACTGAATACAAGCACTTGCAAAATCCAAGTATCTTTGAAAAAGGTAACAGTGAACCAAAACAAGTTTCAATTTACCACTATGTACTGTGCAAAGTGCATTCCATGACAATAAACGAGCTATCAAAACATAGTTTATAAACAAGTTTCAATTTACCACTACGTACAGTGCAAGGTGCATGCCATGACAATAAACGTGTTATCAAAACATAGTTTATAATTCAAATATTAATACAGAATTTAGTTTCTTACTTATGAACCACAATAGTGGTTAATAATACAGTTCACCCAGGAATTTCACAAAAATTCTAATAGAACATATGAGTATTCTCCTATTGGTGGAGAGGTGACGCATGATGATTTGAATGAGAAGTTTGGGAACTTTGGATTCCAACAGAGGGAGGATGAAGGCTTGTGGCATTCATTTCTGAATAAAGTTTGCATATAGAGGGCAGCGCAAAATGAATAAAGCTGATCTTGTGAGAAGAGGGAGAGTACCTTATCTGAGTTGATAAGTACTGCAGACATTGCAATTAATCCAAATTATGACTACTGGGATTCACTACTTAATTTACATAGAAAATAAATTATTTCACCCAGTGTTTTTGGTCAGCTCTTTAAAATGAGTATTGTAACAGGTGAAAACATAAAATTCATCATTATGATGCAAAATGTGGACACCACTGGTAATGAAATGTATATAAAGAAGTTGGTTATTTGAGGGTTAAGTAATTCTGTAATTTTTAAATGAGTAAAAACACCATCTCTCTTTAATACATGATTATAACTATAAAATCATTTAGACACATTCTAGAAACAGTCATATAGAGAAGGCACATGTAAGATTAGCATAGAATATTCATTTTCCTATATGTAAACATACAGTATCCATGAGTTCTTTAAGAAAACTTTGAAAATAATTTAAACTGTCAACACACTGATTCAAAAGATCCTCTATGTATTAGATCCAAGGGTGGCCGAAAAAGATCTTCTAAGGTTTTTCGTTTCCTACTGTATAAAGTATCTTCAGTTCCAATAAGTTGTTCCTCTTGTATCTCTATGAAAATAAAGTAAAACACAAAAATTTTAAATAAATTCATGCAAGACATATAAATAATTCTATGAACTTATGAGTGAAAGCAAAGAATAAAACCAATGCTGATGAGGCGTTACAGGATTACAAAAAACATACTTTCCAGGTTGGAAAAACAAAAAAAATGTTTGTCTGTACAATCCATCCCTAATTTTGAACTGATATATTAGAATGAACAGATAGACAGTCATCAGTATTCACAACTAACCAGTGAGTTACTCTAATCAAACAGAGGGATTTCTTGGTCATTCTTATAACATATCAATTGCTACAAGGTGCAGGGTTCAATTTTGCAGCAAAGGGGCCTAAACAATGGATTCTTGGACCCATAGTCTGGCCATGCTAACAACTAGGTCATGCCCAGCCTGTTATAAAAATAATAAAACTAAATATTATAAGAATCTATGGGATATCTTTTAAATATTTGTCATACATCTTAAGAAATAATTTCAAATCAATTTCCATATAATGTGTCTTTTATAAAATAGCAACATAACATCAATATACAGTTAATTCAATTATTTTTCTTCAGATTAGCTTTGTGTGCAAAACATATTATTTCAAGAATCATTTAACCTATCTTAGTAAGCAGGCATTTGCATGAACAAAGCAGTAAATGTTACGATAAATATCACATTATTACAGAAAAACTAAAGAATAAATGAAGAATTATAACACGAACACTACTCCAATTTCCAACAAAATTAAACAACCATAAAAACTTTCTTTTTAATGAAAGCAGCATGATATAAAATCAATTTTTTCAAAAGGTTAATTGAAGAAAAGAGGTGGGTTTTCAGCTTTCAACACAGTTAATATCTGTAAAATAAAGGAGCCTAGAAATTACATTAACAAATTTTTTGGTGAAAGTAAAAAATATTGTTAACATAATTTCTGGCCACTGTGCATATTCTTTACAGCAGATTATTAAACCATGCTTACAGTTTACATGTTACACAGAACAAACATCATGTTCTTAACACAGCTTTAAGCTGCAAAATAAGAAGTAAATTAACACACATTTACACAAAAACCTATAATTATGCCAAGATGAATATCCAATTTTTTCAGTCCAGTAAGGCAGATAACACAATATCTTAGAACATTTTGGGATAAAGAAATAAAAATTTACACAATGCAAACTCATGTTTAACCTCATCTGGTGGTATTTTATACTATCAATGGTCTGGACTTAGGAGAACTGACATTATTCAAAACTACAGTTTTCTGCTCCCCATAACTGTGGAATTTATTTTGTCTCAATTATTATGCTTCTTATTTTGGTGCAAATTATAATTACTTGAATCATTTGTATAGTGAACAATCTCAAAACACTACAACTTTCAAAATGTTTTTAAACACATACATACCACACAAAAATATTTATCCAATATCCTCCACAGATGTTGGATAGACAAGACTGTTTAATGTGTTATTTTTTAGTTTTCATGGCAGGAGTGTTGAAGATTGATTGTTTTAAAAGCATTAATTGTGACAAATTTTGTTACATAACTCTGTACAAGTCATATGTTGTGTTTGCAATTACACTGTTGTCTAGGCTTTACTAATATTGTTCATGTCACGTTACTCAAATCTTCGGTATTTTTCTCATTACCTTAATTGAGTAACGTTAAATTATCATGTCCCGTAGTTTGTCAAAATTCGAGGCCACAATGAACAAGGTATATATATATAGTCAAGTGAGAGATAATTAGACAGTTCTAGACTGAGTGATTGTCAGTTTAGTCGTGATGGGCGATTTATAAAGAAGTTTGAAGCTTAGTCAGATAAAAAGTTAAGTTAGTGAAAGTGAAGATAAGAAAGTAAAGTAAAAGTTTAGTCAGAAAAAAGTGTGAAATGTGAAGTTAGCCAGCATGTGAGTGATTAGCCATAACAGGCAATATTTTAAAGTGAGTTTCCCAGTTTAACAGAAATAAGGAGAATAATTTGTCTTGTGAAAGGGTGTTCTAAAGTAACTGAACCTGTTTGTGTGGACTTTGACAAAAAGGAGACAATTATTTAGAGTAATGCAAGTAAATCTATCGCAGGTTGTTCCCTAAGTAAAAAAAAATAATTCATCTTGTCAATTTGATTCTAAAGTAATTGAATCAGGTTGGATGGACTTTTGACAAGAAAAGAGAATTATTTAGAGTTTTATATACAACTGTGAATTTTGTACATACGTTTGCCTTGTTTTAAATATATTATTTTAAAACAAGTGGATTGTGTGCTGTCCATTTATTTTTCGAATTTATTGCCATCAAGTCACAGACACCTACTGCAGAAGAATCCAAGTCCACACATATACATAAAACCCTGACAACAGAATTATCTTTAATAGGCTACAGATAATGAGAGGAAATACTCTGGACTATTTCTTGTACATTCATCATAATACACACACAATGAAACAAGTAAAAATATAAAGAATAAACAATAATATTTTCATTACTAAAGTTATAATTTTCCTATACTGAAAATGTATATCTGATAGGTACTTACCTATCCTCACAGTGCTGCCCTCTATATGCAAAAATGTTTTAATATGCCACAAGCCTTGAGCTCCCATGTACCCCACAATCAACGTGGTTCAACTGCATCTTGCATGTAAATCATCATGCAACAATCCTCCACCAATAGGAGTTTGACACATGTGACTCCCTCTATTCGATTTTATGGAACTATCACTTTGAGTTTAGGCAGGAAATGGAAGCACCAGATTTCAATGGGGAGGAAGGGTGGGAAGTGTGAAAGAAGGTAAGTACCTATCAGAAACACATTTTCATTATAGGAAAATTATAACTTCCGATATGTGAATGGAGGTAAGGTACCGTATCAGAAAAAAACAAATATTTATTTTTTTACTTTTCTTTAGATTACATTTAAATATTAAGATATGACTTACTGGCTTCACTCTGAAAATCTCTAAAAGCATCAAATACTGATTGAGATGGTGGTCGTCGTGGTCGAAAACCTGTAATATAATAATAGTAAACACAATTTTCCTCTCCAGTCTTACAAAATAGTGAGTATCATACATTCTGCTAAGTTTTAAAAATCCAATTAGGGTACAGCTTTTTAACTTTCAAAACTTTCTTTAAAAAGTAGCATAAAATTATTACTCGCACTACATTTTTTGACAAACGTAAAAACCATGATACCACTATACATGAAGTATAAAATACACCTTCTGCTTCCTACAATTTATTTTCTAACAGCAGTTATACAAGCAGCTGATCAGAACTTGCTGACAATTAATTAATGGAAATGTAATTTAACAGTCTTCAAAGCAAAATCATAATACAAGGTATGAAAACAAAACACCCACCAGCATGCCAAAATCACCTATTTTGGCAGTCTGTACCAAACACCATGACTAATTAATATAAACATGTAGAATTACTGACTCTACTCACTGAAGAGTAGACTGTTTTTCAAGATGAAATAACTTACATCATCTATTTTAAATGCCTGTACACATAAATATAAATTAGTTTCTACCAATCAACCAGATCTTTAAGAGGGTTTCTAATACATAATAGGGTAACTTTTTCTAAAATTATAGTGAAGAATTTAAGAATATGTTTGAATATTACAAATAAATACAGCAATAACTAACCTAAAATTCATGGAATTAAAAAATTTATTTTCCAGTGTTCAATAACCAAGTTGATATCCCAAGATCTAAAATGCATTATTTTGATCATAATCAGAGTCCAAACAGTTCACTTCAAACTTAGTGTACCAGCCAATAAGTTGTTTGTTTGAAAGTATAATAATCTGTCTATAATTCTCTCATTGGACCAACAGGCAAAGAATTCCTATCCACTGTTTATGTAATTCAAAAATCACACTTCAATGTCATTAGTCCATTCATCACCTAGAAAGATGACAGAATGACATGCAAACATGGATAACACTATATGCCATGACCCTTCTAAGATAAAATCATAAAAATACATAAACTTTCTTCAATGTATATTATGACATTAACTAAGGACTAAGGTATCATATGTCTTATCATTTATTCAAATTACAAATCAGTATATATCTTTATTCCATATAAGTATATCAATATAAAATATCAAATTCCTGAATGTAATATTAAAAGAATTAGGTTCCCACCCAGCTCGAAAAATATAGGGATTTTCTTAAAAATGTGGTGATTTTTACAGGGAAAGGAATCCAATAAAACAGTACCTAGCCTGAAGGCTTTCATTCCATTTTTCATATTTATTGTTTTAAAAAAACCTATGCTGATAAATACAGTGGCAAAACTGTGTATCCTCCCACTCTATGCTTATACAGAGCAGTATGTCTCTCAAACTATCTTTACATTAAGAACCTAAGGCTAAGTGACAAGAAGGCCAATTGTCTTATCCATGTCAATCTTCATAAAAATAAAAATTAAAACAATTTCTATATAAAATTATTTTATTTGGTTCACCTTAAATATACATCCATATAAACATTCAACAATTGTTTAAAATAATTCAAACCAACAGCATAAACCATTCCACAATTTTTTCTTTGAAGAATGAATCAGTATCCAGACTTCCAAAGTTAAATTCCTATTAATTTTAATTATTTATGTTAGGATTTCCAACCTTTTCTTTTCACCACTCAAACTTAGTGTATCAGCCAATAAATTGTTTGTTTGAAAGTCTAATAATCTGTCTACAATTCCCTCATTGGACCAACAGGCAAAAAATTCTTATCCACTGTTTATATAATTCAAAAATTACACTTCAGTGTCATTAGCCCATTCATCACCTAGAAAGATGACAGGAAGTCTAAACCTCAACAATTTCTGAAGCATGAATGAAGCCCCCTCCCTCATTACAAGGCTACTGAAATATACTCCAAAATCTAAACTATATGTATTCAGTACCAACTAACACAAAGTTCTATCCAAATTTTTCAGTAAAATTTACACGTTTATACAAACATTTAAAAATAAAATGAAAGTTATACTTTGTAACATTGTTATAACTTACTCAGGTATATTATAGCCCAACTTAAACTAAGTTTCAAATCAGAAATATTACATAAAGATAAAAAGTATAAATGTTTACACACTGCATCTAAATTTTAATGCAAGTAAATAGATCAAGTTGAGTTTCATATTGCTGTGGATATCTGTGAAGCTACATCAAATTTACTCACCTGGCACTGTATCTCTTTACAAAAAATGAGTAACTTCCAATAAATAAAATATTTATTACCTGTCAATTCTCTTTTTTGACACTTTCTAGAGCTACAACAATGTAATAGTTATTCCCTTTACTTTCATTTGTTGGTGTTGGTTATCACTGTCACTTTACTGCACTTTTAAAGTATCTAAATTTTATAAAGTTAACATTTTCCAACACTGAAAATGTACTTCTGATAGATACTCACCTCCTCTCACATACAGCTTTCTCAATTCAGTGTTATCCTCTATATGCAAACTGTTTTGCTTGCCACTAGTCTTGAGACTCCCACCTAATGTAAAGTATTTTCAAACAATATTGTTGCTTTGTTGCATGCAAATGAGCATGTGACAACACCTCCTAGCACAGCTGGCTCCCTCTATACAGTTTGTTCAATCATCACTTCAAGATTAGGCAAGGAAGATGCACCAGAAGTGGGGAGGAAGTGTGAGAGGAGGTGAGCATCTATCAGAAATACATTTTCAGTTTTTGGAAATGTTAACTTCCGATACAATATGTAACCTCTTTTCACATATAGCTAGAATCCCACACTGAAGTGGTGGAAGGAGTAGTGCAAAATCTTACCTAGAAGAGCCTTCTTTAGGAAGTGCCTGATGGAAACCCATAGAAAACAACACCTTATACAATGGAACAGTATAGGGTCACACCCATGGGAGACCCCACCTTGTCTGTACCAGGGTACACTCTTCTCCCTGAAAGGAGAGGAAGTGTTGCAAGAATTGGCAGAATATACAAGCACAGCCAAAAAAACGGATCAGGTTTATGGAACTGCTATATGTGTGTAGTGTGGTTAGGGTGTATCAGACCATACATGGTGGGTCAATTCCAGTCCAAAAGCAGGCAGCACCAGGAATTTGGCTTCCTGGCCACAGGAGGAGGAGAATCCCTACCATTTGCAACTGAGTGAGGACTTATGTTGTTTGCATGTTTAGGCAGCAGAAAAAGAATGCCAAAAATCCACACCTCATGGACAGGAATTATAGGAGGAAAAAAGTCCATGTCAAGTCCTGTTAATGGCCCAATCCACATGCAAGACTGCACCACCCACTGCACAATGGCTGTCATATCCCCTGACAGACAAAGAAGCACTCAATACCCTTTTAATATTCAGTCCAGAGTGAACAAAGTTGTGAAGTTTAACCATAGACAGCAAGGAAATGACTGTCTCTATGTAATTCATGTTGTGGAAAATAAAAGCCACACAGTCTACAGATGCAGAATTATTTGAAAATAAAAACAAAAAATATTTCCACAACAGTTGTTTTGTAGGTACTTCAACAAAATGTTATTGTTGAGAAATCTCACATTAGCAAAAAAAAAGAGGTCTTAACACACAAATACCAAATCAAGAAGTGATGACTGAACAATCAGTATAAAGAGAGCCAGTTGCACTAAATGTTGTCACACTCCTATCGTTGGAGGGTTGTCTCATACTCATTTTCATGCAACAATGCAGAAATATCATGTCTTAAGGCTAGTGGCAAGTAAAAAAGTTTGCATATAGAGGGCAACACTGAATTGGGAAAGCTATATGTGAGGGGAGGTTATGTATCGTATTGGAATTCTGATGTAGTCACAAGTGTTATATGAAAAAATAAGTTTATCAGTTTGTATCTACAAACTTACCATAGCTAAGACCATCTTTTACCAGGATTCCACGAGTGGGAGGAATTGGAGGTCTAACACTGTCTCTGAAAAGTAGTGAAAGTAATATTTGAACATAAGAAAGACTCACATCATTGCCAAAAATGTTTTACCAAGCCTTTCTAAATACCTTTTTTTAGGAATATCTCAATTCTGAAACTATCATAAAAAAACTAGTATTTTCATTACTTAAAAAAACATTAAGCTTCATAGACAATATAGTTTCTCATTGATAAAATTACTTGCTTAATATATATTAACTGTACTTTTTAATTTTATTACATAGATAGATAAACAAGTCACTTGATAAATTTTTCTTATTTTTGCTTTATCAATTTTGAGAAATTGAAATATTTACTCGTACTGAGAGGTTCCAGGATTGGAACTCTCTTCTTGTGCTTCACCATTTCCACTTGCTTGAGCATCTACATGCATGTTGACTGCCATTTCAAGGTTCCCACTACATGCTTCTAGCATTTGTTCAGCTATAGGTTCCCCTGCATCTTTGTATGAAATGTTAAAATTAACATAACATCTATAGCATAATATTAAAAGGCAAAATGGGACCTTTTGGTCCATCTAGGCCATGTCCATTAAATTAAACACAAAAAAAAACCTCAAAGTCAGCCCTTATCATTCAAATATTTATCCAGTTTTTCTTTAAACTCTTTTAAATTAACTGCATCTACCATATCTGAAGGCAACCCATTCCAAAGGCCAGTCACCTTGTTAGAAAAATAAAGCTGTCATAGTTGAAGATGACTTAAAAAAAAAGTCAAAATTTACATTTTTGTCTCCTAGTCTTGTCATTCTCATCATTAAGTATGAAAAAGATTTTGAATCAAAACTATCTATTACCTTAACAATATTGAACACCTCAATTAGATCTTCTCAAACTCTTCTTTTTCAAGAGAAAACCAATTGAGAGATCTTAACCCATCCTTCACTGACAACTTTTCCATCCAAGGTATAAGCCGAGTAGCCCTTCTCTATTGATAGATTTTTCTTAATTTTGCTTTATCTATTTTGAGAAATTGAAATGTTAACTCATACTAAGTGTTCCCAGATATCATCCTCACAGTCCTCTTATGAACCCTTTAATTTTATACATCTTGTATCAAGCTAGAAGATTTTAGGAATATGTATATATATATATATATATAGACTACTTAC